CGGTAACGGAGAGAGTATACCGTGCGATAGATGGATGGCTGGATGGATGGATGAATGGATGGATCGGCCGTGGCGCGCATAATTGATCAGCGCGCGCGAGCGATCGATAAGAACGCCCGATTGATCCCGCATGATCGACGCAGACGTTGTCGTTCGCGATTCATTATTCAGCCGCAGGAGGCTACCGCGCGATCATCGTAATTGGTTTTAATGCCTGAAAATTTCAACGCCAACGGCAGATTATATCCGCCAGCGCGTAATTAATGATACATACATCCGCGGTGCGTACGTAAAACGAATACAAATAATCGTTTTACAAATGTGCCGATTTGCAAATGATGTGTAGCTATTCACTCAAGCTGAAGAAAACGGAATAATTCAATATATTCATGGAATAAAATTTTATAAATAGAAAACAATATCTCGCGTATTTATATGTATATATACATATATATAAGTAGAAATGAAATGGAGGATAAAGAGGAAAAATATTTTCAAAAGGTTTAAATTTTTATCGGATTGGTAGATCGCGAGAACTTTCTTAGATGTTTGTTTATCGCAATATGTAGACGCACGTTTACTGCTATAATCAAGTTCTACAAGACGATCGACGAACTATGCACGAAGCAAGAAGCATATTGCACAGTCCTGGATGTTTTGGGTTGCTCGATCGGATACGAATAGCACGATAAAGGAGGACGATGAAATGAAATGAGCTACTTTAGCTGGTGCCAAAGATGCAGCCACACTCGCATGGCAAAACACTTTTCAGCTTTTTATCAAGTCTTTTTGGGATATGTTAGGAATTTCGATGCAATTGTTATCGATTCATACCTCAATAAAAAATATTGTAAAGAATTCATCGTACGAGAGACAGAAAGAGAGAGACAGAGAAAGAGGGAGAAAAGAAGGGTTCGAATGAAAATATTTTATATAATTGAAACACACATTTTTTCGGTCAAACGTGTGCATCTATATGTTGTCTAATTTCGCTGTGAGGATATAATTTTAAATTTAATTTATTGCCATTAATTGATATTATTTTAAACAATTAATCGTTGATTATATAAGCGCAGCATGTGTGTTTAATATGTTATTTTATAATTGCTAGAAAATTGCAAACACATTTATATATATCACGTAGAATGTATAAATTTATAAAGGTCTTTCCGATACTGAAATTCAGTCGAGAAGAATAAATTTTATAATGCTTTTAAAATTGTAGCTGTCGAACAACGGGATAGAGCTTCCGACAAGTGATATATGTTTGCGAAAATGACAAACACGCCGTCATATTAAAATCCATCGCGCCATGTTTCTCCTTCCGAGATATGTTGTACATTAGGCCCCAGCTGCGCTCATATGTAATCTGTAATAGAATAGTTGTTGCTATTTTTGTGCGCGCACCACATCGTATATACACAGGAGAACGGAGATCTTTTGATCAACTCGAAACCTTAAATACGATCCCGCTCTTAAATGCAAACGCGGATATGCCGCGTCAAGCACACACGTGCGGCGACAGGACAGTCGTTTCAAATATGCGGGCCCTGGGCTTAACGTTCGTTATTTTTGACTCCTATATCAGATTTTACCAAAAAAAGAATCTTATACAATTTGTAGAATATAAACAATATTGTGTTTTTATTGTCATTCATTACATCATCATGCTGGTTATTCGAAACATTCTAAGAATAGGAAAGCGTCTGTACACATCTAACGTCTGTACGTTCTTTAAATAGCTGGCAGATTTGTAAATTAATGAGTTTAAAAAAAAAAAAAATCGTTAAAGTCCGGTGGATTCTGTATTCTTTACGTGGATTCACGATCGGAATTTAGGAATGCTTTCAATATAGTTCGAGTAGTACACATGTATGCATGCACATGCTCGAAAGTCGTTCTTTCTCCTTCCTTTTGCTGTTCCTCTTCTGCGCGAGCCGGGTTATGCAATGCGCCGATCGAAAATAGAAGAAGGCTCCAACGACAACAACAACGACGACGACGACGACGACTACCACCACGACCACGACCACAATGACAACGACGAAAAGTGACACGCTATACCTTCTCGGAATTGTACAAGAACTAGATGTCCTATCTCGCTAGCACGTGGCTTCATAGATTTGTTCGATCACATACCTCCCTTTTTACTGTACATTTTACGAGCGACAATTTCGATAGGCAAATCGGCAGACATTATACCTTTCCACGGGATGTGCAATGCGCAAAATATCGGATATGGAATTAATATGTACCCGTCGCAATGACCATAGCTGGAAATGGGAATGAATGAAAATCGTCACAATGTGGCTTCCCATATTGCATGACGCATTGTTCGACGACACCCGATATTAAATTAAAGGGCCCCGGTAATTGGATCTTCGTCGTGTTACACACGAACTCGCCTGTAGCTTGAACTGCGCGTTGTGTTATTCTGTTACATTACTTATACGACTGAAACGGGCAGTTCTAACGAAAGTTTGTTATACATAGCGCGTGGGTATAGCGATTGAATGACAATCAAGCAAAATATTAACGAACGCGCAACGTTAACAACGACCGCGCTGTAAATGGGACGATTGATAATTGCCAAGTCACATTGAGGGTAACTCGATTAATTATACATTATAAATATTCGAGCTACATCCGTTCGCTTGCTAATAGATACCAAATGCAAGCTGTGAAATATTCACGCCATTCACATATTATTATAATAGCGTCAGCATTTCTTGTGTGAAGGTACTGTTCAGTTTTTATAAAGAAAAAATCATTTTGAATAACCTTCAGAAAATGTCGAGAAAACTAGGATCATCGTTGAATAGAAATGATCGCATTTATAATCTCTTGATATATTTTTCAATAAAATATTAGTTCCGTAATTTCCAGTTTATCCTATTTTAAGATCTGAAGCAGATATTTTTTTTTTATCAGAGAACTCTAGCTTTATAAAATACCACCATTTCAACGCATTTCAATCGATTATCGCGCAAGACTTACTTTACAAAAATATTTTACGGAATATAAAATATGTGTGTATATGTGGAAACTATATAAATTATATTTAAATATATAAGTGTCGAAGGGATAAAATAATCTCCATCTCGTTATCGAGATACGTAAATTAATCGTGAAACGATCATTGGGCATCGCGAATCATAATTAATATAACGCTGAACTCATCATATCGCCGCTGTGAGTTATTTTGCCGCTGAATAAATGCTTCCTTTCTTCGCGCGTAAGTAGATAGTATTTCCATTATAATAGCCAATTTCTGTATCGTTGCTTGTCTGAACCGTAATTGTTTCGATAAATCTCGATATGCCGGCCTGTTTCCGCGATCGATTTATATAACCGAAAAAAATTTACGACTTTGTTGCCGTGTCACTTCGGCATAATTTAGAACACGAATGCGCCACATATGCCGTCTCGTAAACTGCGCTAATTAATAATGCGCCCTATATTGTTATCGGCAAATACGACACTTTTGCGAACGACAGTTTTGAAAATTCGCGATGACGCTGATATCGACGCATCAAATATACGCGTTTGAATATTGCGAAATACGGTCGCATCGCGCTTATCCCGAAGCAACGTTACATAAGCTGGCTGAAAGCATATTTTGATATGAACAGGTAAAAGCATATTTTTGTTTCCGAACGTATTTTGAGTATTGCGAGACAGCCTCGACACACAGCTACTGAATTCGAAAATACAAAGATATCATATTTTAAAACGTCCACCGTATAATTTATAATATACGCGCGATCAGACAAATAATCGCTGCTCCATTAATGGCTTTTATATACAATACAGTTTGGCGATTACCAATCACGATTCAGTTTAACATTGTAGTTTTATAACGTACGATAAGACTATATAATCACGGTACTAGTAAACATGTTAAATTATTAACGAATAATCGCAATCGTTGTTTCCTCCTTAATCCACCTCAACGTGAAACTCGCTCCGAGTTATATATATCCGAGTACAAGTTTAGCGGATTTGGTTAGCACATTAGGCACAATTAATAAACGATGCGGTATATACTATATATATTGCGAGTGAACACACTGTGGATAAGTATCTACCCAGCGTACGTGTTTTACATGATGGAGTGAAGCTGCGCTTTATTCGCGCGTTTCGAAATATCGTGACGTCGGGCTTAGCCGGTGAATAAATTCGAAAAAGTGTAAAAGCATATTTTAGCCAGGGCCGAATGTCGCTTGTTACAGTTTCGATTCGGTCGAGAGTCGATGAAGCGTCGACGAGTGGCGGGGGGGGGGGGGGGGGGGGAGTAGACGCGAGCGCCAAGGTGGGATCGAGAATTCCGAGTCAGCGCAACCGACTTCAGATCGCGTTAGTACGTGAGAGCGCGCGCGAACGTTCCCCGCAGTCTCTCGCCCTTATTCGCGCCGGTTCGACACTATATTCGCGGGAGACGCAGCGAGTTGATTCGCCACCAAGAGTCGTTCGCCTCGTCGTCCTTCATCGCCGACCTTAACGCGACACGTTTATCGTATGTCGGGCCGGCGAGCCCGCGATCGCGTTACGAGCGGAAAAACGCCGGGGATCAGCTAATTCGTCGAATCGGATAATTTTTTCGATAACGGCGCGCGTCGCGTATCGCTCGTATCCCCTCCCTCCCTCCTTCCTCTCATCCTCCCCGCTCCATCATCCCCGCTTCCGTCCATTGGCTTTGTGATTTCTCCCACCTTGGCCGATCATTTCGATCACCGACCCTTCCCTTCTTCCCTCGTCCTTCCTCCCGTTCCTTCCGATAGTTCCGATTCAGTTTACCGGAGTTAGTTGTTTAAGGCAATACGTTGTGTGCACATCGTACCATCCAGCGTACCCTCTGCATTTCATTACATCTTTCATTTCCTCTTTACTTTCTAAACTCGCATCTAGAAATTAATTGTGTTGTGCGCGTATCTTCAGACTCATCGAGAACAGCGGTATCGTTCTCGCGATAGTAGCGCGCGCACTTAGTTTGCAAACGAGTGAATAGAAAGAACACAGAAGAGAGAGATAGAGACAGAAGATTGCAGTGCGACGAAACTGTGCAGATAAATATATATATATATATATATACTCATCGATCTCATTCGACGCGATCGTTTTCTCGCAATATATTTGCGATATCTCTCGCCGGATAGCCTTCTCTCGCGAAGAGTCCGGCGTGAAGTTTCCGACGGGCTCTTTATTCGCAGCGTAAAAACGACATCTAGTTCGCGCGGGACACTCGACTTTGAACTTGTTCGCTAGATTCGAAATCTGTGCCCGCATGCACATCGCGACCGCGTTGCATATTTTGAATCTTTAACAGCGCGTTTTAACGCTCGTTTTGTGAATCGTCGTGTTGTAATAAATCAGTCAAAATTCGGGTGAAGAGTGATCCGAAGCCATCCTACGTGATGGACTCAGCCGACGAGCAAGACGTGGAGAATCCCGGAGGGATGGCCAACGGAGCCAGCGGTGCTAACGGAACCAACGGAGCCCACGGAGCCAACGGAGCCCACGGAGCCAACGGAACCAACGGAGCCAACGGACAGCATCCGACACCGGAGGGTTCTTTGGTAAGTCCCTTCTCATCTTCATTTACGAGATCTCGTAAATTTGTGGCTACGCGTTTCTCTTAAAGGCAATAGCTTGATTTTTTTATGTTTCATTTTACATTTGTTATACGTGTAAATATGTTATAAATTTCACGCGTGAAGATTGTTAGATTAAATCAAATTCAAAGTCATTATTAATAACATTAAATTAAGAAAAGAAGCCTACATCAATCGCGTTCCGTAGAGGTTAAATCAATCGTTACTGTTGTTCTGATGCTACGGCATTTGCCATTTTAATCTCTCTTATCGAATATTGTTTCTGTTTAACAATCGCTCATTTAACAATTGCTTTAGGAAAAACGCATATTTCACATGTTGCCGCGTTTCTAATAATGAATTCCGTTAGATGCACCAATTTGAATTGATGCACATTAAAGTTATTTGCTAAAGATAATTAATATTACTAGCTTTTATTTGTATTGAATATATGACAATAATAATTCATAATATTATTTATCTTACTGTTTCACTTACCTATGCTATTGTAAATTTTTATACGACAATCCGAATTATACATATATAATACATCCAATCAAATTCGCTATTAGAATTATTTTTTTTTTGTTCTAAATCGTGGAAATCATTGAGGGAGTTTGCCAAAAAGATTTTAGAATTATGTAAAAATAAAACGAAATCTTTTTCTCGTTATCAAAAATGTCTCGAAAGTTGCATAAAATGGAATGTGAAACAGCATACTACGTTAGTATATTATGGCATGTGGTGTTGTAACGGCAAACTGTCGAATGTTACAAACCTGGTCAAAATTGATGCAGTTCCTAATAACGGGATTCAGGATTAGAAAATACTAAAAAATCCGATTGTACCTAGCGTTGCCATAACAACCTTGGTGCCACTAATTGAGGATACTCTGTGGCAGCTTAACCGAGTCGAAATTTTGATTCTATTTTTATTCAATTTTCTCATCTTTATAGATTTTAAAGGATTTTAATAAATTTAATTTATATAAAAATTGAGCTCTCTCTCTTTTCTAATATCCATCTCAAATTGATAGTAAACGAACAATTTTCTATTTATTATTAAAGGAAAAGAGTAACTTTTTTCGGCAGAATTATAGTTTTTAAATAATTCCAAAAGAATGATTTGACTGCCTAAAATATCAAAATAAAAATACTAAATTGAAAATTGAACTCGAAAGTAGAAGAAAAAATTCTGCTCAGGTAGTTCGGAGAGACACAAAAACTTTTAAGCCGTAAAATGTTTAATAATCGTAGCATTTTTTGGTCTAGTCTGTTTTATTGAGAATCTGTAATCGATTCGTTTATTATTTAATGGTTAAATTTTTTCGAATGTGTATAACCTTAAACAACGAAAACGTGTATATATACATATACTTATAAATTTTTTTATTT